AGAAGAAAAATAAAAAAATTAATTTCAACTATAGTCCCTGCTCAAAAGGTGCGGGGTTTTTCTTTTTGTTTGGACTCAAAGATTCATCAACAAATATGGCCAAAGAGTATACAGTCAACTGTGAATGCAAGTCACAAGTGCACGTGTAATGCATTATAAGCTCAAGTTTATAAATTAACTTTAGAGCTGTAGGATACAATTGTTAGTTTGTTGTATGGCAAAAGTGTATCCCCACACCCTTGCTGCTTCTTCTTCATCTAAACAAGAAGTATTCACTGTTTGGATGAAGTCTCTGATTCTACACAGCCATGGATGCACAGTGTTCGATTCGAGTGGCCGAGTCATGTACCGAGTCGATAACTATAATCACAGATGTAGCAGCCAAGTTTTTCTTATGGATACCACAGGCAAAGTTCTGTTCACAATAGTTAAGAAGGTTAATAAGATTAAGAGTTTTGAAAATTTTTACAACCTTTATTACTGTGGTTAATTTAACATTTCCTAATCGTGTGCAGAAATTTACAGTTTTGGGGCGGTGGGAGGGTTACAGATTTAGTGGCACAGATAAGGGGAAGCCCGGATTTCGTGCAAGAAAAAAACTGGGAATTCTTGGAGGATACACACACTTGGAAGTTGTGGTTGGTCTAGATGTAAATCAACCAAGTCAATATACCATGGAAAATCAAAGTTGCAAGTCATCCTGCAAAATAATTGACAACGTCGGTGGACTTGTAGCAGAGGTTAGTAATATTTAAAGCTTTCCCTTTTAATGCTATATAATATCAACGGTACTCAGTACCGATCTAATAGCAAGGTCATATTGAGGCAATAGACCCACCGGTTCATGGTTTTACACAACATTACTCTTCATTTCTTCCACGCCTAGGAATTCGTGCATGTTTGGTTAACCTTTGACATTTTATTTTTAAGCTAGTCCTCACCTTCCACTGGACCCACAACTTACTATCCACTTATTATTCATATATTCTATAAGATCTACTATTTATAAGTACCTAAAAATTTTAGTGTTTGTGTGGAAGTGATTTTTGAAAGTTTGATATTTTTGGAAATATGTGATTAAAAAGTTAGGAAAACATGATTTTTCTTTTCTTTCTTTTTTTTTTTTAATGAAAAATATGTGGTTAAAAATGAGCGTAGAGAAAGTAACTTTCCAAAAATCACTTAATCCTTGACGATCATGCACGAAATTTTTGTGCTATTTGTACCGGGGCAGTGTCTGTAATCTGCTGCCGAACTTGTTCTAGTTTCAAGACCTTGACCTAATAGGTTCACATTTTGTGGGACAGGTAAAGAGAAAGATAACTACAAGTGGAGTTATTCTAGGTGAAGATGTTTGGACAATGGTGGTGGAGCCCTACATGGATCACTCTCTAGTTATGGGGCTGCTTGTAGTTTTTGGTCTCGTCAACCATAAGCTGTGATTGCCAGTTGATATACCGGTCTTTTGGTTGTAACAAAAGAATGTTGTCAAAAAATGA